GATAATGATGATGATGAAAATCACTCACTCGGTAAAAGGCAGCGAAAGCCATGCTTAAAACCGGTTTCGTGTGGGGCCGTAGTATCGCTCCGATCGAGCCTGCCCATTTGTGCACGAAGAATGGCTCTGCCATGAAGAAGGCGTATTTAAAAATAAAAAAAATCCACCATATTTAGGGTTTTACCAAAGAATACGTAAAAATTGCCGTGTATTTTACAGACTGCTCACATGCGAGTAGATAATTAACTAACAATTTCTTTTGACCTTGGCAACCCGAGCATGCCCTTTTGGGGCCGGGAGTGAGTATCCCTATGTCTGTCCTATGATTAAAGAGGCCATACATCAACTGCCCGGACCCTAACTACAGAACTAACAGAGTAGCATAAAAAGCCCAGGTGCTTAAATACTCCTTATTTAATTTGGCAACATTGCATTGAAGATTGCTACAGTGCACACGTTAGATACGATCGTTGTAATGGACCATTTGGTTGATATTTTGAACCCATTAAGGCCCATTAGTCGTCCGTTTCGTACGTGTCAACGACCTCGGTGCTATATCTTGTAATATTTGTAACATTGTTGTGGTATAAGAATAGATTGGGTGATGCCAAATTTATCATAGGAATTGTTTTTCCATTGTCAATAGAATGTGTATTGATATATATCGCCTGAGTTCGTGGTTGATTTTTTTATAATTTAGGGCCAAATGAACAGTCTGCTCCACTTTTGGAAAGTGACTACCATCATGGCTAACTTCAACTCATGAGTGTGAAGTTCATTGGCAGACTTAACGGTGCTTTTGCTTATTGTTTTAAAGTATACACTAGGAATATATCCTGTGTCGCGGAGGACTTTAACCACTGCCGTCCATGCATGCAGCTTTTGTCGTAGTTCATATCCACACTCTTATTATAAAATTTGTTTGTTTGTTTTTTTATTACGCTTAAATCACTAAACCGATTTAAAAAATTCTTTCACCAATGGAAAGCTACATTATCGCGATAACCGACAAGCACGCGGGTGGAGCCTCTGGCAAAAACTAGTATTTCATAATTACTAATGGTTTTTATTGTTTTTAATCTATCGCAATTTTCTACATGTCTATAAAGGAGTCTAATCACGGTAAAATTCATAATGTATGAGACCTTGTTTCCTGACGTTTTGACCGAATTGCACCGACCGTGATCATCGTGATGGTGTACTTAAATCGGAAAGGTCATTATCAACAGCCTTTTAAGTCCACTGCTGGACATGAGCCTCTCCTCAGAAAGGAGGTTTACAAAATCAGAAAGGGTAAATTGGAAAGGTACGGAACATTAAATAATCACCATCTGTATTTATGATCAACAATATAATCAACAATCTTTAGTAGTCCACTGCTTTGCTGCACTGGTTGGTATAGGATTTGTTTCAAGTTTTCCTTCTCTTTGCAGTACGAGGGGTGATCAATAAGTAATGATAATCAATATGAAACAGAACTATTAGATTTAAAAAAGTATTTTATTTTTCAACATAATCTCCTTGCAAGTTAATACATTAAAATTTAGTGTATCTTTTTTCTAAGGCCATGATTCCCTTAGAAAAAAATTCTTTGTCTTGACCCTCCCAAAATGCCTCTACTGCGGCCATCACTTCACTATTGTCCTCAAATTTGTTGCCCCGGAGGTGTTCTTTGAGCCGAGGAAAGAGGTAGAAGTCACTGGGAGCTAGATCTGGCGAATAGGGAGGGTGTTCGAGCAGTTCGAACCCCGTTTCTTCAATGGCAGCCATCGCAACTGCGGCTTTGTGAGCCGGGGCGTTGTCTTGGTGAAACAGCACTCCAGCGCGCAGTTTACCGCGTCTTTTTGACTTAATAGCTTCTCGCAATCTTCTTATTTGGCCTGCGTAGTAAGAGCCTGTTATAGTGGCCCCCTTTTCCAAATATTCCACCATAATAATTCCTTCTGCATCCCAGAAAACAGACGCCATAACCTTTCCCGCTGAACTTGACACTTTGAATTTCTTCGGCGTTGGTGAGGAAGCTCGTTTCCAAGTCATTGATTGTTGTTTGGTTTCGGGATCAAAGTGGTGGATCCAGGTCTCGTCCATGGTCACAAAACGCGACAAAAAAAATTCTTTATCGGCTTGGAACTTTTGAAGATTCACCCTCGAAATGTCGACTCGTTTCTTTTTTTGCTCGTCGGTTAACATTCTCGGTACCCAACGCGCAGAGACCTTTTTCATATGCATTTTGTTGACAATGATTTTTTGAACGCTGCCATAGGAGATCCCTGTGACCTCAGCTACATGCCTTACGGTCACCCTTCGATCGGCCAACACGATATCTTCCACTTTTTTGACGTTTTCTCCAGTAAGGGACGTGGAAGGGCGTCCCTCGCGATGTTCATCTTCAGTGGAGGTTCTGCCCAGCTTAAATTCCTTTGCCCAGCGTGCGACTGTGGAATATGGAGGAGCAGACTCCCCCAATGTTTCCTCTAAGTCGCTGTGTATGTCTTTGGTAGACATTTTTTTCAGGCAGAGGTACTTGATGACAGCTCTTATTTCATTTTTCTCCATTTTGATGTTTTCTCTTCGACAGTTCGTATTTAAATGAATGTATCTCCCGGTAATGGTGTCCTATTTATACATTTTTTTGAAGCTGAAGTAGTGGATATATAAGCAAGCAGAAAAAAAATAATTTGGGTTTTTGTGCGTTCTAGAAATACTCGATTATCATTACTTATTGATCACCCCTCGTACTGTTGTCCTGCGTAGTTTGCTCCTTTAGTCGGCACTTACGACACCCACAGGATAAATAGGGGTTGTGACACGCCGTATTCTTAATCCGTCATCACACGGAGAGTATGCATTATGACTTCATAGCATACAAATAAACACACACATTTTCGCACGGTGCCAATTATTTCAAGATAGGTTTTCAGTATAAGCTTTGCCGTCGACACGTGCAGATATAGGTCTGCAAGTTCTTTAAAAAGTGTGTAGTTGTTATTGTGATTTCGATCCTTTTGTACCAAATTAAGGTTTAATGTTGATTTCGTTGTGGAATGTTTATTAATTTAACTAGTGTTTTTAAATATTTATATGTGTTTCTATAGTCTAATAAGGATTTTGTTAGCTTTGAGTGTGATTTAGTTTGTTTTGTATTTATTTATAACTAGTTGCGTAATCATGTGCGTCTCTCAAAAGTAATAATTTTTTTCTTGTTTTTCCTTCGAACATTTTTGATTGATGCTATCAATCCCTATTGGTTATAACTTAATAATGTATAGTCATCCTCGATAAGTGGACTATCTAATACTAAAATAAATTTCCAACTTAGAACCAGTGGTTTCTGAGTTTGCCAACCAAACAAACAAATTCTTCAGCTTTATAATATTAGTGTAGATTTAAAGGATATGGTTTGCATACAGATATGTTCATTTAAGTGTTTAAGGGCAAGTAATTTCAATTACTAAGAGTACAAACTAAATCAAAGTTAAGGGTATGTTTGTAATATCTTAAGTTGTTATATATGTAAATAACAGTCTTTTTATTAAATTTATCTGTATGTTTAGACGATACTTATACAAAAACATGTTTAAAAAAATTTGCCTGTCTGTTCGGCGATGTAAATATAAAGTCGAGATAGCGGGTGTTGTAATAAATAACTCAGGCTTGATTTGAAAAAAAAAATGGTCTTACTTAAAAATATAGTTGGTAGTCATCTATATTGGTACATTATTATATACCGTAATTCACCTTAAAGCTTTCTTTCATCTCTTGTTATTTAGTCACAACACATTATGTAATAAATTTCTTTCTTTTGTAATCAAACCAAAAACTACTTATTGTAAAAAGAAACCCGTTGTTTGATTTAGAGAGATGTTCCTATCTAAAACTATGATTATCGTGGCCATTACCACAGTCAATCTTATACATACTTCAACACCATCTATAGAAGACACCTAACTACAGCGTAACAATATATTCTGGATCGCGCAATCAAAGTTCTCACGTCTTACAGTATGTCTGAATATCTCCAAGATCAACCATTGATCACCTCGCCTGGTCAGAGGATCTTCCCAACGGGCCTTCCTCCATAATAACTATGATGTGTTAGGTATAACGCATCAACTTAGGAATTAGTGGTATCGTCATCAACATTAACAACCTGTAATAGTCCACTGCTGGACATAAGCCTCTCCTTAGAAAGGAGGTTTTAGTATAGATAGTGAATAATCTTAATGATATTATTGTTTACAATAATCTCTTATGAGTTCATACACATATCGGTAGTCACGTAAATGAACGCTCACACAACATTCGGTGCCAAAATTATGAAATCATTACACACATAAATAAAAGTTCGGAGATGTCTTTTTAAAATCTGAATACGTCAACTGATATTTTTAATCAACCAGGTTTTGCAACAGCTAGATAAAGTTTTGCAAAAGCCCTGTTCCTGGAGGGAGCGAAGACGATAACTCACTTATCGCTGTCGAGTTACGTGTGTGGCGGTAGTCACTTACCATCAGGTGACACGTCTGCTCGTTTGTCCTCCTATACCCTAAAAAAACTAATATTCGACCTTCCTTTAGGTGTATCTTCTTAAAATAAAATATCGATTTTCAAAGTTTAAAAAAAACAGTATTTATTTTTATGTGTGTAATATCTCATGTAATATAAGTTCCTATTTATGTACGCTACTTTTAGTAGAACAAAATTGATAAACATTCCACACCCTGACCTGAATTATACTTTACATAGGACGCCAGAAACTGGTCTCTATTGTCATTGAATATATTACCTACATAGTGTAATTTAATTATAGAAGAAGCTTTGAAATCATAGGCACAGATAATTAAAAAAAACTACGTACAGACTAAAAAATACTCCCCTACTAACTTTATGGCATCTTAAAAAAAGTTTTGCATAGTTCTGTAATTGTTTGTAGCAGCTTTCTATGTATTATGTTTAAAAGTAAAAAGATATAATTTATATTGTTATGTGCTGATATCGTAATGGATACGATCAAAGTGATGGGCGAGTTTGTTAGAGAACGATCACCATTTTCGGTAAGTATACCTAATCGGCACACGGTCTCAAAGTTTACATTTTGAGTCATGACCCCATTTTTTTTATGAATATGCTCTTATTCAAAACAATCTTTACATCTCATCTAGGAGGTATAGCGTAAAGTTACAAGTTTAAAGAATGAGGGAAATTATTTTTAAAACAAGATATGGCTTTAAATAACTTATACAATCAGCGGAGGTTTATATTTTCCTAAGAAATACTAGCAGCTGCGTATAAGCTTTGTAATATTCATAGTTTCATAATAAAATGCCTTAAGTAATTTTTAAATTGCATAAGCTACCACTTTTTCGTCACCAGTAAATTTATGTATGTAAATAAAAAAAAATATACTTTTAAAAACAAAAAAAAAAGCTAACGAATTGCAAAACTTCTTTAAAATTTCATAAATTTTTGGTTTGCTTTTGCCGAAGATCTATGCAGATCGTAACTTTATCAGCAGCATTAGCACATTATTGCACTTAAAAAGCGTATACGTATGTGCAATTATTATTTTTAAGTAATTAATAAACAATCGCGGTGACTAGAGTATTTTATAATGTCAAGCTCGGATCAAAATTAGATCATTGTCGTGACCAATGATCTAAATATGAATTGAGCAATAAATCGACCCCCGCGTGGGAGATATATATATTACTTTATGATACACTTTGTATTTAAAAATCTCGTCGTATGTGGTTGCGAGACTATTTTAGTCAATCTGTAAAAACCTTTTTACTCAATTTATGATAAAAGTATGAATCTAGTATGCTTTTTAGCACTATACTCTGTCGACTTTATACATATATGTCTTTAAAACTTAAACAAATGACGAACAGGCGAGGAGTCTGTTCATCTAGTGGTAAGTCATCGTGATTGCTAGGCCAGAGGCAGTGGGTTTCACAAGTTCGATATAGATTCTCATTTGTTATGTCTAGGTGTAATTTAAGTAAATATTATGTTCCTTTAATATTTGTAAGTAGCTTATGATATCATATCGTTGAAATTTTGAGAACAACTGCCAGCTGCTACTTAATATTCGACTTACCTTGATGACACACATGAGTTGAATGACGTCAGCTTCTATGCAATCCGATGAACTCCATCGACCTTGGGCGACGAGTTTCTCATATAAAAACGTTTGTTATTTACAAACGTTAGGAACGCGCCAGCTTAGATCTCTCCTTTTTGTTTTTTTTTTAATGAAAAATATAGATGTTAATCAATTCTTTCTTTGCTTTTCACCGAGTGAGTGAGATTACTTTACGACGAAACCCCCCTTAACACTGGGAACGGGGCAGACATTCAAAGGGCCAGGACGCACTTGTGACTAGAAATGCCACGGATAGTGAATTGGCCGAATACCGAAAAACTAATATTCGGGTCTGCGAGCCTCTTGACTGAAGCAAATAATAATATGAATTTATTACTCCACATTGACACCACATTAGTGATATTAGTAGTATCTACATATCACACGCCGGAGCGGACCGCTAGTATATCATAAAGGAAATAGATGACATCGAAGTCCAAATTATCCTCATCACATTAGCAACGTTAAAGGAATGATATCTTTTTTATTCAGTCGTCGGATATCGATTTTTGAACAAAAAGGTGTGACTCCCACGCTTCGCTTTTCTAATCCTTTGCTCTGCGGTCTTTTAAGTAAGAAAGTACCATCTATTCATTGAAATTCACAATATCGTATCAAAGGAAAAACAATTCAAAATTCATTTTTTCTAACCTAAATCAACAACTTGTTACAAACCGCTCCTAAAACTTTACTCACTTTTTGTAACATTCTTCAAATGAGAGAGAGAATGAGATTATTTGACTTACCCTTTGGTCTAGTACTTAGTAACTAACGGTTAGTCCAGAGATTTTGATGATGAGAAATATAACATCATCATCAGCCTTATTTTGTCCACCGCGGGACATAGACCTCTTCTTAGAAAGGAGGTTTTGGCCTACTATACCACGCTGGCCAGACTGTTAGGTTTAGGGTTTGCAAGTTTTCCTTCTCTTTGCAGTGTCCTAGGTAGTTTGCTCCCTTAGTCCGCTCTTACGACACCCACGAGATGAATAGGGGTGGTGACACTCCGTATTCTTTATCTGTCGCCGCACGGATTATAGATATATAGGTATGTATGTTTATCAGGAGTTTGGTTCGCTCTCCTTAATTTGAGTTCAAACGGCCGTGTATGAGATGTATCAAGTTATTTCTTTTATTGTTCTTGATAATAAAAATGAAGTATGATGCTCCTACTTGAAGCTCACGTCAGCAACACCGATGTACAAAACCATTAAAGCAATCGTTCTGAAATGCATATTTAGGTCGGTCATTGTGCCATTGTGTTACGTTTAAGGGCGACAGGCCATTGAGTATTGTACACCATGTTGCAATTCATCATGGGTAATCAGTGTTCGGTTGGTGGCTGACGCGATGCGAATCGTTTTCCGTGGTTGCTGTGTTAAGGTGTTGATTGTTTTTTTGTTTTGTTTTGTGATGCGATGTTTGGTGTTTTTGTTTGTTCGATCAATAAATATGGAAGGTTACGCTATATTCCTGTTATGACACACTCTTGTAACACCTATTTACCAGCTTTTACAAGAGTCAGTGTCGTCATAACTTAAACTAATTTCAAAACGCTGACAAGTGATATCATGATTATTGTCGCAAAACTCTTGTGAACAAGTTCTTAGGAGGAATAAATTCTATAAGGCCAAAATCTACCTAGTCTTAGATGAAAAAGAAAGAAAATCCATCTAATCTAGTTTCAGATAGGTAAAAATATTAAAGAGGGCTTGTAGCTTTTTCAATTGAGATTCATTCTGTTGTGGCGGTAAATACCCTTGGAAACAGATTAGCAGTTATCACCGCGGCATTCAACCATTGTTATTTATACTGTTTATAGACTGGTGATGCTTACTATCAGAAGGATCATGGCATTGTCTGCCTAATTAGTTCAAATCAAACTAATATTAACTTTCACTTAACTTCTATGCCCCCCTCACACCTCCAACTTCATCAACTCTTCCTTCTACGTTCAGTCAGTTCTTCTCTGGAATGCGCTCCTTGCCGAAATCATTATGTCCACAAACCGCCTTGCATTCAAGACAAAAGTGAGAGAGATCTTAGGAGTGAATTGGGAGAACATTCACAACAACAAATAAAAATATATAAAATAACATATTTTAATATTATATTAAATTTATGATATGTTTTTTTTTGTTATTGTGTATATCTCTGGACTTCAGTTATGCTAAGTTTAATATTTTATTTTGCACCTACCGCATCATATTTCTACATCACCGGAAGGTTGACTGGGAGAGAATGCCTCATGGCATTAAGTCCGCCTTTATACAACATGTGCATTAAGTTTTAAATAAATAAATAATATTAAAAAGGGAAACCCTATGAGCAAGGTATTAAAAATCCGCAGGTATCACCGCCGGGCGCAGCGTGAGTTACTTTTGGGGGGTTCTAAATTACCACTTATAGATTAAAAAATATATGATTTAATTGCGAAAATATTCAGTTGCAGGTACAATTAATATATTTTTAAAACAACTTAAACCCGAATTGTGTTAGAAAAAAAAACAAAAATAGCGTAATTCTTTAAGTTTACTGTCGATAGAAACGCATAAGATTTTTATAAAGATTTCACATCTTTTTATTAAATAACTAATCATTTTTTTCGTGGTCTTCAAAAAAAGGAGTAGGTTGTTAATTCGTTTTTATTTACTTAAATATGCTCGTAATTCAAACATAGAACTTACCTTTGTTTTATAACCATAGAGAAAAAGCAAGAAAACTAAATCGTTCTCTACACATCAATATAAATTCCAATGTAGCTCTCTTGCAACGTTATCGTTTAGTGTTTAGTCATAAGACTTTTAATGTGTTTTTCGTCGATAAGGGTCGCACTGGGTTAGCTGCGAAATACTTGCCTTGGTCAGCATGTAAAACATTTGTCATAAAATTATAAATTAGAAAACTCATCATTATGAGGTTTTAGCATTTTTGTCTCATAGTAGAGTAGTCTCTTGATTTATGATTCTGTTATGCGTCTTTATATCCGTTAACTTCTCCTAAACCACGCAACCGAATTTGATGCGATTTCACCATCAGTTAGATGTTTTTTTCTATAAAGGTTTTTGATAAATGTAATGTATAATATAATAAAAAGTAATCGAGTGTTTATTTAAAAAAAAATACATTATTTTTCAACAAAGTCGACGAAAACGATTAACGTGGTTTACGTAGGTTAAATCTTAGGAAATGCTTAAAAAGGGTCTACCTACACCCGTGTGAAGCGGCGGGCGAGTAGTTTAACATTTACGGCGAATATTAATACCATTTTTGATCCGTAATGTCTAAAAGAAAACTAGTTCCTCATAATTATCTTTTGCAGTACGCATGTCATGATAAACTTTGATAAACACAAGCAGCAATGTAATAAAAATTGAGAATTGAGAGCTTAAGATAAATACCTATATGTATACCTTAATGGGAGAGATAAGAATATGATTTCTAAAATTAACTCTACTTTTCTCTTGCCTCCAGCTGGACACATGGTTCGGACGTCCGAAGAAGAGTGGGGGCCAGATCGAGCGTGGGTACGACACTGTACCACGCGCCGAGCCACGCGCCGAAGATGACGAACCCTCGGCAACCGCCGAGTATACCACCAAGATAGATGCCTTGGATGATGCGCAGCTATTCCGGCGGTTTGAGGAGATGTTGGTCAGTATGTTGTTTAAACTTTTTAACTATTTAATGTAGGCATTCATCAAAATGGTAAAAAGGGGTCTTTATTAATAACCTCACACATCTCACACACGGCCATCTGATAATTCGGATCCTCGGATTCTTTTGAAGACCGGCCCCTACGTCGTCGATCCTCAAAAGGTTTAGTGTGTAGCCACTGTTGGCAATCCGGCCAACCCTAAAAGTGAGCGAAGAATACGAGCAGATGCGATATGAACGCTGCCTTGTCCAACCAGACTTCAACTTCGTCTTTTGACTAATGGTTTTTGTTGCAACCATAATTTTAACAGTCTTATGTATCCGAAGGACAAGATGTCCAAGTATTTTATGTAGAAACCCAGACAAGACAAGCTTATGGATTCCGTCGAAGGTTGCTTCGGCGGCATCTTCGACCGATGCTGTACTGTGCTATTCATCTCAGAGGCATCTGGACAGATAACACTTCAGAGCAAAGCCATTAAATTTCATGTTTACTAACTACGTAACATAAATAAAAGGTTAACAATGGAACTATTATGTTTACGTTACAGGCGGACATGAATCTCAACGAAGAAAAGAAAGAGCCGTTAAGAAAATATCCTCGGGACCAGAAGAAGAAGATGCTGGTAGCTTACAAATTTGTCAATACACAGGTTAGTCTGTTCTTATTATTACAATATATTTTTGAAGAGTACAAGTTTCTTTTAGATTCTCTTTAGAAAGTGAGACCAGAGACATGCCTTTAGTTTCCACCTGAATGACTGTAGTATTAAGTGGAGTCTGGTTACTCCTTAGGATGTCAAACCTTCATAACGGGTTCACACTATTAGAAGTGAGTTGCTCAAAGAAATATGGACTGCTCGGTGAAAGCTTATGGACTGTTTAGTGAAAGCTTGTGGACCAAAATAATAACACGAAGATCGGGCAACCAATAGACTAGAATAAAATTTATTGTACATTACCGGATTTTTCACCTCTGTAAATGTGTACAAAAGACGAAATTATCGCTAAAAGCAATTTCTTACATGCAATCTTTGTATGCACAAAGGCGACAATGGATAGTTCCAATCAAGGGTGGTTTCGGTGTGTAAGCCTAATCTAGTTTCAAGCAATTCGAATTTGTATTATGAATAAAAAATTGGACGTAACCTAATGTGGAGACATTAGGTTAAACCTTTGTAGTGATAAGTACGTTGATTTAACTTTTGTAGGAAGTTAGCTTTTGACAGCAAAAAATGGAAAGTCCATAATCCGTATACCAAAAACCACACTATAATTAGTTGACACTGTGTTCAATAGCTGGGCATCTTTGCTGGTGCTATGGACAGAAACGTGATTACGTCCTTAAAAATTAGCTGCAAAAAGCCTTGAAATGGATTTGATCTATTTGTTCTCTATCTTAAATTTAATGCTAGCAATTGCATATTTCAGGAAGGCCGATCGAAATTCGAAAGGCCATCAGACTACGTAGCATACCTTAATCAACCAGAATTATCAGTCGGCAAAATGCATGGGTGCTTGGAGAATCTTAGGATATCTTTGACAAACAATCCTTTGTCCTGGATTGAGGATTTCGGTACCAAGGGTATTGAGAGCTTGCTGACTACGCTCAATCAATGTTACACCAAGTAAGATGTTCAAGTTATTGTTTTATTGTCGTAATGCCAATTATTTGAGGTCAACATTATGATTATTTGGGGTCAACATAAAATATTTATTTTCTCCTCACATATTTTGCCTTGCGATGCCTTTAGACAGTCCACCCTGGGAAGATAGACCGTGTTTAAGAGGATATTCTTAATATTTCTCATCTTATCAGAAGCACGCCACGACAGATGCTATTAGTCTTAATTTCAAATACAGAAAGCAAAAGTTTGGTCCAAGTTTCATTAAAAAGGTGTGGTTTTTTGTTTTATTTATTCTTAAATATCTTCGTATGACATGATTTTATTGATTTATTTAGTGGATATTTTACAAGAAAATATTTATACAAGTATAAATGTATATGCTTTTAAATTAAAGATGAGCACAGCATTACCTATAAGTGTACATACATGTAGGTCTTAAAATTTAAACTACGTTAATAAGGTAATTATGGCTAGATAAAAGACTAAAATAAAACCATATCACAATTAACTAACTTGCTATAATACTACACTATACCTACTTTTTTTTATGTAACTATTTTTTCGGAGAAAATGTCTAGTATGCCTACTTTATTATAAATAGCGTTATATTTTCCGAGGTAAAGGATTGTGAAGGAAGGTGTGTTGCTCCCTTAATTGTTAGGACTAGTTTTAATTACAAACGGCTTATGGTTTTCTAATCCTGAAGATGGTCTGGGTATGTTACTATTTATTTTGGATATTAATGGCATACAATCTACCTACTACGATTACATATCTTATGTAAAAACAGTAAACCGTAAGTAATGTCACACGAAGTCATGATTGTCATTAAAATTTAAAAAACCTTTCAAATTCATGCTGCTAGTGGAAGCGGATTTTATCGGTGAGTTATTCCTGTTGCCATATAAAAAAAAGTTCTCCTAGACTTTTTTTTTAATTCATTCGTTTAATACTCAAACCCACCAAGGGTTATATAACAATGCCATTCAACACAACATTCAAAGGGACATTAGGCGAAACTTTAGAAGTGTACTTAAAAGGATATCGTTTTTAAATGATGAAATAAATGTTAAAAAAAATGATAGTCCAAGTAACCGCACTTACTCGTATAGTGTTACGAGTCGTACTCGTATATGTATATTGTAATTTGCATTGATTTGAATTGGTGCTACTTTGAGTTGACGTACCGGCTATTCAAACATTTATCTATACTAATATTATAAAGCTGAAGAGTTTGTTTGTTTGTTTGTTTGTTTGAACGCGCTAATCTCAGGAACTACTGGTCCGATTTGAAAAATTCTTTCAGTGTTAGATAGCCCATTTATCGAGGAAGGCTATAGGCTATATATCATCACGCTAAGACCAATAGGAGCGGAGCACCAATGAAGAATGTTTCAAAAACGGAGAAAATTTATTACTATTGAGAGACGCAGACGAAGTTGCGCGGGTCAGCTAGTAATTAATAAACATAAACAAATAATCATTAGAATTGGTCACTTTATCTATTTTTTGGTCATTCTTTTGTCAGTATTGTGTTATATAGTTTAATTTGCGTTGTGGATAAAAATGTATTTAATCGACAAATGTTTATTAAATCGGGAAATAGGACGACTCAGGAAGCATTTTTAGTGCCGCAGTTGTCAGAAATAAAATTAAATCTTTAAATTTTGTCAAAAGATGTTCTCTATTTATTTGTAGTAACCTATTGTCAAGACGAATTACTGGATTTAGTCTTTGTAATTATTGTATTTTGAAAGAGGTTTATTGTATTTTGAAAGAGATTTATTGTAATCAATAATTTTATGAGTTAAGTTCTGATTTCGATCGAAAAGAGCTTGAGAGAATAATATGATACCCGTGTTTCCACAGTGATTCCCGTTACGATCGCGTGCAATACGAATGCATTCGCTGTTTATCAGCGATCCTGAACAATACCGTGGGCATCCGAACCATGTTCGAGTGCCGAGAGGCGCTTCCTGTTCTAGCCAGGAGCTTGGACGCGAGGAAACCACATTGTGCTCTTGAAGCCTCCAAGGTAAATATAATCTTTGTTCAAAACTGTGCCAGAGCATTTACAACTTCCGACTGCGCTGAGTGTTGAGGGCGGTAACCCTACATGGGATAACACTTTGTGTAATCCACAAATTGCCTTTCTGAGTCGGGGGGTTCTTTATGTCCGTTTCATGTATGTCTGTAAAGTTCCCGCGATACAGGATATATTAATAGTGCGGGAGTTGCCTTTTAAAAATAAGAATAAGAAAGCTGTCAACGGGGGTCCTCAGATATCATTGGAGATTTTAACTTACTATAATTTTTAATTTTGTTTTCTTCAATTAATTTGTAAAACGTTTCAGGTACTAGCAGCAATATGTTTGATACCGAATGGACACGAGAAGGTTCTGGAAGCCATCACAATGGCAGGAGAGTCAAGTCGGAAACCTCGCCTATTGCCAATCATCGAGTGTTTAGAGTTAAAGACTCCAGAAAGTTTAAAAGTAAGGTCCTAAGTCGTTGCTTTCCTTTCAGGGTTATAGACTTTATTGTACAGAAAATAATGCTTAATTTTAATAATACAGACAGGCTGTATGCAACTGATGAATGCGATTATCACAGAGCCAGAGGAATTGGAATTCAGGATGCATTTACGTAGCGAGTTTATGAGAACGGGGCTTTATGATCTTATAGGTAAAGTACAATTTACTTTAAATAATATTATCTAGATTACGTTACTAGGTTAAAACGAGAAATTATACTTAATTGCTTGACATATGAACTTAAATGAAAATAAAGAAAATTTTATAGCTAGTTAAATTATGCCTTTTTATATTACATCTGATCTATTTTGCAAGAGTTCTAATAACGAATATCGTAATATATAGACGAGCTTCGCGCTGGTGCGGAGGGAGCTCGGCAGATCCAGATGACAGTATTCGACAACCATGCTGCCGCCGACCAAGACGAGTTCCTCGCTAAGTTCGACGATGTCAGGTTAGTATTAGGACTCTTGACACTATGACATCAATAATAATAACCAATATTGGTACAGGAGGTACAATGATGAAGGTAACTGATAATAAACATTAAAGAAAAGGAGATAAGTTTGTTTATCGTATGGCAGTTTTATCCAACCGACTATAATGACTATATCACACTACAATGGTTCATCATGGGCGTAGCTTAGAGACGAGTTCCTCGAACCCCCCTCAAACGCAATTAACTAACTCGTTATGCGAAACACGTCGCGCCACCGTCTTGATAGTATTACTTCTTAGGAGGCGTCGATATTAGAATAACCGGAGCGCTCAGGCCTGAGCTCAAAAAGGCCGTAGGTCTTTAAGATCTCTTAAAAATCTTATTCACAACATATGTAAATCTTAATTGTTTTATTGTTCATTTTTATCAAAAATCTAAATTACACAATATATCTATATAACTTTAGTTGTAACGTTTGCCTCATAACAACCAGGTATTCCACAATCTGTAACTTTTTCGTGCTTTGATAAATTATAAAACTTGTGGAATGCGCTCTGCCATCTTGTAGCCTTACATTAGTAGACGAAATCAGATATCTTAGAGTTATGTAGACGATTAACTTTAGAAATTGCTTCAGTAGTCAGTACTGATAGTTAATACTATTTGGTAAACATATTGAACCACGCATGTCTTATTTCAGAGTGGACTTCCACGATGTGAATGAATGCTTCGAGCTGGTGAAGAATTTAGTGATGGACACGCCAGCGGAACCGTACTTACTGTCAATATTACAACACATGCTCTTCATCAGAGATGATGAACTTATAAGGTGGGTGATTATTTGAATTATACAGGGTGGCGCAATAGAACGTGCATATTGCATCATCTTTTTTCGCGGGGTAGAAAGTGCGCGGGCGGGGGGAGCCTGCATCGTTGGGTAGGCGGGCTCATGGAGTTTTAGTCACTATGAGTCACTTCGACGGGAAGCGTCGCGCATTTTGCGTGCGCGCATTTTACGAGAACTCTCGTTCATACATCGTTACTAGGCGTTTATATTGTTCTGAATATGGACTACGGCAAATTAGTAAAGCTCCGAGTGCTAATTTAATTAAAATATGGGTACAGCGTTTTGAAGAGACTGGTTCAACGTTTAAACCACAAGCAAAAGGTTGTCCAAGAACATCTAGGACCGACGACAATATTGAGAGAGTTATGCAGTCTGTACGAGGAGATCCACAAATGTCTACTCGTAAGAGATCGTCTGTCTTACACTTATCGCGACGAAGTTTGCAACGAATTTTAAACTTGGATCTTAAACTGCATCCTTACAAGCTGCAGTTAACACAAGAATTGAAAGAGTCTGACTTCGGAGCAAGGCTCGCATTTGCTAATGAAATGCTTAATCGATTTTCCAATTTTGACAATATCCTTTTCTCAGATGAGGCCCACTTCCATATCAATGGGTTCGTAAACCTTCAAAATTGTCGTTACTGGAACAGTGAGAATCCCAAACTCAAGCACCAGAAACCACTGCATAGTCCTAAAGTGACAGTATGGGCAGCAATCTCTGGTAGAGGAATAATTGGACCGTTTTTCTTTGAAAATGCGCGGGGGCAAAACGTCACTGTTAATACCGAACGCTATGTTGCGATGTTGGAAGGTTTTTTGGCTCCAGAGTTTGAAAATTCAAGAATAGTGAATTCTAGGACTTGGTTTCAACAAGACGGAGCTACCTGTCACACATCAAATGACTCCATGGCGGTTGTGAAACAGATGTTCCCTGGCAGACTGATTTCGAAAAGAGGTGATATCCCATGGCCCCCACGTAGTCCAGACGTGACGCCTCCTGACTTTTTTTTGTGGGGATACCTCAAGAACAAAGTCTACAGTAATAATCCGAAAAACAACGATCAGCTCAAGGAGAATATCCGTGGTGAAATGGCAGCAATTACACCAGCATTACTGAAGAAAGTTTTCAATAACTTCCGTTTGCGATTAGAGGAGTGTCGTCGTAGAGAGGGTCATCATTTAGACGATGTTATTTTTAAAAAATAAACTTCAGTTATTTCTTAATAATACCTCAGTTTTATTTTAACTATACCTTTTGTATTTATTTTCTAATCAATATTTTAAATATGCACGTTCTATTGAGCCACCCTGTATATAAAACAAAAAATATAATAACTGCCTTAAATATGAATTCCATAGAATGCTAATTTTGGGTAGATATGTACTTTCTGTATTTTGGCAACTGTTGTTTATAGTTATATGTAAGTAAAATACATAAGATAATTGCAATATTCGAATATTTGCACTGAAATTAACAACTTACTTAGTTATTTTACGCGGTTGAAGGCTCCAATTTAAGAAGAAATCTGTAGTCCTCTATCTTCTCCATAAATTATTTTATATAATGCTTTGCTTCAAACTCGACAGGCCAGCGTACTACAAGCTGATAGAAGAATGCATAACCCAGATAGTATTACACAAGAACGGGTACGACCCGGACTTCAGACTCACGCAGAGGTTCAACATAGATGTGCAGCCTCTCATAGATGGACTAATAGGTGAGTACAATTAATATTCGTACCAATACATTTATATTTCATCATCATTATTTCGTAATGCGAAACATTACAAAGGATTTTAACTAGTTTCGTTTAGGACCTGGCCACCGACATGACTTCAACCCTCTTCCATTGGAGGTTAGCATTGTTAGAGCTCAACCTCAGATACACTCTGGTAACACTTGTTGAGGGCTATAATAATTCCATGCTTTTGGAAAGTATATGGATCTCAGTATTCTTTCTCAGCAGTTACAAAATTTTCGGAAATGAGTAACCTAGATAATCGTTTTATGGTTACTTATTTGGTTCTTATGTCTAGGTCTTCCGAGAAGACTAGCTAGTGTGTATTGATTTAGAGCCGTCAGAAAAGATCTTGAGTGTCCTAACTCGTTAAACCGTTTAGAATTCAAAAGCATCCCAATAGGTATATTTCTGGATGTTTCTTCCAGTATCAGCCTATGCGGCCCCTTCGTTATCCATCCAGGATAGCCTCTGAAATTGTCGTAGTTCTCAAAGGGTTAATTAGGGTAAAATAACATTTTTTTTACCCAGAAACCAGAGTATACTTTTTAGTAGAATTTTTGTGCCCTGAATCTGAAGAATTGCTCTCACCCCAAGTTCAGCAAAGCAAACCTTTAACTGAATTACAAGCCTTTAAACTAAGCAAACCCTGTTCACTAATATTTTAGGGAAAAAAATGATATTTGAGCAAACTCAACGTCATTTGAAATCTAAAGACTCGAACTTTAAGAAACCCCTTCCCAAAATCCTTCGGAAAACTGTGGTTTCTGGGTAAGAAACTTTGTCAAATTTTGTTGGCCCGTGTAATTGGTTAGATCACTGTGATGAATTGTTGCTGGATGATCTTGACTTTGTAGGATAAACCGCAGAATCTGTCGATCATCCTTTTGAACATCTAGATTATATTGTCTATGTAGGGGCTCCAAGCCAGCTTGGTTTCAATTAGTACACCAAGTAGTCACTTTTGTCGATTCTGATTGTGGTGATATGTTGTGTGTTGAACAATATTGGCAGACAGAAGTTACCCAGAGCCTATTTGATAGTGAACACTAACAAGTTGACGTCGGGGTGGTTCAACCGAAATTGGTCATGTTTTATGCAATATCAGAGCAATATCAGAGAGATGCAACGCAGAGCAGTCTGAGTCAGTTCGCAGACGGCACTGGAGACCTTGCCTGATATTGGAAAAGTTAGATCATTCGACTGTATATTAGCTATTCGCGTTGAGTTTTGTTTGGTCCTTAATATGAATATACTGTTATTTTTAGAAAAATCAAGAGCAGAAGAAGAGAAGAAAATAGAAGATTTAAGAAGTAAGTTGGAAGCGGCGATATCAGCGCGACAAGAGGCCGAGGCCCGCGCCGCGCGTCTCGAGGAACGCCTCAAGAGCGGCGCCGCGCCCGCGCCCGCCGGCCTCACGCACGGGACCATCGCCGCCATCGCCAAGGTACCCCCCTCTCGACATACATACTTGGCAGCGCCAATATCGCTCCTGGAGGAACGCCTATAATACTTAATACGAATGAGCAAAGAGAATATCATTTCACTATAATCTTTTACTTCTAGTTCATCTCACATATTAGAATTTAAAGAATATTTGTTTTTCTACAGGCGATAGGCAGCCCTGGTGGCCCTCCTCCTCCGCCACCGATGCCTGGAGGTAAGTCAACTGAACTAGTTTAAATAATATACCCTCATAATATTAATAAACACCTAATGCATGAATAATAATCATTTAATGTTTACTAAATTGTGGTATTATTTCGAAGATACCATTTTTAGTATCTTGGTGTTTGGTAAAAATACAGACTATCCATTTAAAATAAAGTTAAAGCATTTAAGATATCGAAGTCTACCAAACGGTATTTATTAAAAGCTACTTGTGTTCTATGTATGTAGAAGTTACGTTAGATAATGATACGGCTGTTTAACTAATGAAATAAATTTATTATACGGACCACAGGTAAGAAAATATAAAGGAGCGAGGGAGCACACGCGATGACCGTTAATCGTGTACTGTCGGTGTAATTATAATTTATAAGTAAAGTAAGCAAATTGCTGAGGTAACATTATTGTTCGGTGTCACCGTACAATGTATTTTGAGGATTATTCCTTAACTATTAAACCTAACATTATACAACGTCAGTTCAGATAAAAAACACAGTGTTCTAGTATCTACAAAAACAAATAATTGTAGAACATTATTTATTACACTTTATTTACTTTACTACATTATTATGAACTAATAATATCATCTTTCTCTCTGTCATTCATCGCATGAACTACATCTATCTCTTTCTCGCTTAGGGGCTGGTCCACCACCGCCGCCGCCGCCGCCAATGCCCGGTCAAGGTTTGTAACAATTATCTAACCAACATTTCTATTCGAATAAAATAATGCGTATGTTATTTATATTAATAAAATATACATATATGGTTTAACTCACGGATGTATTCCGACGCGGAAGGTTGCTTCACCAACTGTTACAGAGCCCCCGTCGGGTTCAAAACAAATCCTAATATTTTATGGCATTGGACGTAAATTTGTAGACGGATTACCAAACGTAAATAACTACCGCTGCGAGCACATAAAACCTCAAAATTTCATAAGCGCGTCACCGCCTCTTGGTCAACCCCCCAGAGAGATTAAGAGGGGATTTTCGACCCCGGTAATCTCATTAACTCTTTATAATGCAGTGAAAGAAAAGCTTAACGCCTGTTTTGTGTAAGGTTGTGACTCCTGTCAAGCCAGCAGATTTATGCTGAAGCATGACTCCCACTTATGTCTATTAAGTTGCTGGTCACACTAGGTAACGGTACTCACTTATTATCGTGTCACCCATCTACTCGTTTGCCACCTACATAATTAATAGTATGAATAGGTAATAATAAAAATCAGACGTTTCTTATACACACGTAAGTTAAATCGTATAGGCGCGGGGTTCTCTGACCGTCCGCCGCACGCGACCGACGACCGACGCCGACTACCGTCTCCGGTAGCGTACGGAAATGCTTAGCGCTGGGTTCTTAGAAACGTTACCGGCGGCGGACACGCGTCGGTCGTCGGTTGCGTGACAGAGACCTCCGCGCTGTATATTTAAATGATATATCTGTGCATGTATGTGTTTAAAGTAAGTTTTTAGATTTTTTTTTAGTAACAACTCTAGAGCATGATGCATGTAGGGTGGTTTTATTATCGCATGCCGCATGTTATTATACAAATAGTTATTCTTTGTGCGCTACTTATGTCAATACTAAATAATATATACGATAGACTGTATTTTTTTTGTTTTGCGATTGTTGTCTCATTCACACGCTTGCAAACAAATAGTACATTCCGTCCTTTTTCGGTGTGTATTTCTAGAGTAGTCTGTACTTAAAACTCTTTTATTGTTGTCTCATTAACACGCATGCAAACAAATAGTACATCTTGTCCTTTTCTTGGTGTGTGTTTCTAGGTTTTACTCCACCTCCACCGCCGCCTATGCCTTCAAGTAAGTGTTTTTTAGATTTAACAAAGCATGATGTAGATACATATAATAATATTTCTTTGCATGATTGTTTGTTGACTTAAGATGGTTTAATAGCTTGAATAAAAAAATATTTTTCGTTTGTCACATACATGTATGTGACAGTGACAGTAAATGAAATATACCTGTTCTTTAGCAGGCGGTGGTCCTCCACCTCCGCCCCCGCCGCCAATGCCAGGTGGACCTCGCGGCCCTCCGCCTCCGCCCATGCCGGGTGGTGCCGGTCCTCCGCCTCCGCCGCCTATGATGGGAGGACCGAGACCTCCACCTCCACCGGGAGGATTCGCGCCTAGGATGGTAACACTAATCTATTTTACATATTGATTTTTGTTTGTCTAAACCAAATGTTTATATTTGTACAAAATATAAATTAAACGTAATAAAATAAATCTAGTATAATGAAGCAAAAGCTAAAACTTACTTTTAGTTAGTGCCTCAAATATCATGTATAACTTGAAAATGACTGAACTAATTTTGATAGTTCTTTAATAACAGTGCAAATTAGCCTAAGTAAATACTAATACATTATATCATACAAATATTTATAAAACAAATAAATATTAAAGTAAATGATAGCTAGTTATGTACAAGTACCTACTTCATCCTGTCTTCTACACTGCCGTGCCAGACGGGTCCATAACGCACTGTAAAACCCAATGTAACGTTATTGTGTTCAATAAACTATTGAATAAGAGAAGAAAAAAAGATGCCTGTATAATATAAAATTTTGTCACGTAATCAAGCCCTTATTGTCTCTCACGCAGTTAACAATGAAGACATTAAAACTGTAAAATTAAAAAGGTTTTGTTCATTATCTCAATCTCTTAATTTATTTCTAATCTTTTCAGCCTCAACCAGATGTAGTACTACCATATGGTCTAAAACCTAAAAAGAAGTGGGAACTCGAAGGACCATTGAAACGTGCCAATTGGAAGACGATCGTGCCACAAAAAATGTCGGAGAAAGCTTTCTGGGTCAAGGTACATTATATATACATAGCTTTATTGTACATTCTGGCCTGTGCCACTAATGGTCAGATGGAGTCAGTATTCAGCGCCTTATACTGACGCGGTAGGTCTCTTCACCCCTGAATAAAGGTCCCCGACAGATCCAAAACTATTCCGGCATCTCCAAAATACATCACTCGCATATCCTTCATAATTATAAAAATTAGAGATATGCCGACTAGTCGTGTAGCGTCATGGAAATGCCGAATATCCCCAAAACCGTGATAGGCTTAATCGACTAGTCGGCCTTTTTACAACCGACTAATCGTTTATCAATAATGTCTCGTTTCTAGGTGCAAGAGGACAAACTTGCTTCTCCGGACATTCTTACAGGATTAGCAGCGAAATTCTCCAGTAAACCTGTCGCGAAGAAGAACGAGGACGCAGTTGACAAGTGAGAATATTTTATTAATGTTGTATACTTTGCAGTTTTGCTTGTAACTATAAGAGCGCCATCTAGTATGTACTCTTATAGTTTCACAAGCTGTTACTGCCTGTTTGCCATAGATGGGGTTATAGTTCAGTTCCTAAATAAGAAGTGTTTTTTTTTTAATTCAAACGCAAGAAATCGTCAGAATTTTTTACAATTTGAATTAAAATATCTAATTATTTATTTCGTTTTGATAAAATACTGTTTATTTTTAGGAATAGAATAGATATATATATATGAATAAAAATTATATCGTATTATATTTATGATCAGAAAAACCCGAATGAGACTCTCGACATAGGTATGGGAGAAAAAAAAAATGCCTTTTGTTGCTTATATACCATATGAAGTTAAAAACTATGTATAAACTGATGCATAATAGTAAGGGTCTAGCATTTATTTTGACTTGTCATTTTACAAAAGTCCATACAATGATAGTTCAAGTAATACTGGCCAATGAAATAAAATAAAACATTAAATATTAAAATCTTGTCTTCCAGGGTCCACACGTTAAAGAAAGTGAAAGACCTCAAGGTGCTAGACAGCAAGGCGGCTCAGAACCTCTCGATCCTGCTGGGAGGGTCTCTCAAACACATGTCTTATGAACATATCCGAACTTGCATACTGAGGTGTGACACCACCGTGCTCACTGCAAACGTACTGGATCTGCTCATACAGGTACATATCATTAATTTATTACTGATTGATTCGGAGACGTCCCCTAGGGTAGTTTCTCCACCCTACAGAAAAACGAAATTATAAAAAAAATATTCGGTGGATTCGAACGTAAATCCATTCTGTGCCGCCTTTTGAATCCTCTCCCCTCGTTGTATTGGTGGGGGGACGGGGAGCTCAAAAAGTGTCAACGCACTTCTGTCTATAGGCGGCGTCTATAGTCACTGACCTGCCAGTGAAAAACCAAAAATTATCGAAGTGATGACAATATTGTAGTCTAAATCCCTTTTAAGCCCGAGTTATGAATATAATATCCTCGGCAATAGGCGTCCCCTGTTACGTAAGCGCTACTAAAGTTATCGTTGCAAAATGTGGGCATTTAATACACTTCTCTCTCCCCCTACGGGGATAAAAGACGTAAGTGTATGTATGATATTATTACTGTATATTTCACATCACATCAACAACCCTTAATAGTCTACTTCTAGACTTCTCTACTTCCCAATTAAAATATTTTTCTCACATATGCGTAAGAGAATAGAGAAAATCGATCTAAGTGGCGTGCAATGGGAGAGGCCTATTTCCTGCAGTGGACTGCGATAGGCTGATGATGATGATGCGTAAGTGGCAGCAAGCCTTTTGACGTCACGGGCGCAAATATGGAGTACATTTAAAGACCTTCTGCTTAAATAATTTCATTCAGAATCATAAAAGCAATACAAAGGAATGATAACCGACAGAGTATTTTAAGGTATTTGGATGTAGGTGATAAAAATATTCAATAATTATTGTCCTCAATTAATGTTTTTCGACATATATACATTAATTTGGTTGTATTTGTATCATCCGATATGGTCTAGTGGCTAGGATACCTGGCTCTCACCCAGGAGGCTCGGGTTCGATTCCCGGTATCGGAAGGTTCTTTTTGTGATGTTTTTTTACTTTCGTTAGCAAATTATACAAAATTAATTTATGTCAATATTCAAATTAATAGTATTTTCGTTTATTTTATGTTTATAATCTACATAATTGTGTCATATACAAAGTGTCAAACACTAGTAGGAGAATATGTAAGTAAGCTTAATTACGCAGACACAGAAAACATCTTAGCAACTTTATAATTATTTATTATTATTTATTTATTATTAATGACACAAGTTTTACTATAATTAGTTTATTAAACAATAATATATATATTTGTGTATACAATTACACTGTGTCCTACATACAATTACCTTTCTCAAGTAATTAACATTATTAATCTATTAGAACTTTAACATATTAACGCCCTGTAACTAACAACATAGTCAAGCGACTGCCTGAAACACCGGTCTCACACCTAGCTCAGACCGTTTACAAAAGAAGTTGTAATCTTTTGTTTTCACCTTTTTTTCTATTTACTCTTGCACATTTACTAGTTTTATGTTAGCTTTAGTAACAAACTTCACATAAGAATCTAATGACGATAAGATGTACATTTTTTTTAACATCTTTGAGTCATAGAGTAATGTCAATGTAAATTTAATAATATTTTTTTATCTTAAAAAGATATAATAATAAAAATATTCTATTCTTTTCTTCTCAATAATAAATTACAAAATTTCCTTACAATGTAACCGAAAATTAGGTGCATTATCAGCCTATCGCAGTCCACTGCTATATTGCACGCCACTTAGATCGATTTTATATTTCATATCTAAAAATAGTATTGTTGTGAGGCAATTGAAGAAGCCCTATGTCCAATAGTGGACATTTTATCATTGAAGTGATGATGTTAATTCCAAATTCCTTTTTTTATACCTAGTGAGTCAGTTTACCGGTGGAGCAATCCCGCCCTTATTCTCAGGAGGCTCACTCAAAGGGCGTCAACGCACTTGTGTCTGTAAGTAACGGGTGTTAAGTCAAAGTCTTGACTTGACACCCGTTACGTACCTGGTGACCGGTCTCCTCGTTTGCCCCCTGTACCACAAAAATACGAAATCGCGCATCCATCGCTCTCGTTGCCTGTATCGCTTCCACTTACAGGTAGCGGTACTCCGTGTTCTCTCTATGCTTATATCTCTATCATAAAAAAACTAAAATACCAAATGCAAGAAGTATGAACTTTTGCACCAATGTTCCTTAGGTGACATAGGTGTGCACTAGGAAAGGATTCTTAAAAATTTTACCCCTAAGGGTGAAAACGGTGGTTGGAATTTTATATGAAACTTCATTATTGTTGGTAGTAGCGTTTCCATGAACCAATGTCGGCAGCTGATGCTTTTATGTTGTAAGCACCCAATAAGAAAGGTTTTTTTTGGAAATTCCACCCTTAAGGAGCTCAAATGAGCTCATTTTAAAAGTTAGAAACACGAAATAATTACTCGAGCGAAGCCGTGGGCAAGAGCTAGTATTACATAAAAGTACTTATTGATAAAAAAAAAGATTTGGACGAATTGAGAACCTCCTCCTTTTTTGAAGTCGGTTAAATAGTAATTGCCAGTGCATTGAACAAAAAGGTAAATAAGACTTACAATTACCAATGTCCTTCTTCTCCCTATTGCAGTATCTGCCTCCAGCCGACCAGCTAAAGAAACTGGCAGAGCTGAAGGTAAACAGCGAGGAGTTAACAGAAGCTGAACAGTTCAGCGCCACAGTGGCTGATATCAAGCGGCTCGTGCCACGGTTGAGGAGTTTGGCCTTCAGGGAGCATTATGCTGAAATGATATCTGAAGTTAAACCGGTAAGTGTTGTTTGACGGGCATGTATGTCTAGTGGTTAGTGACCCTGACTGCTAAACCGGAGGTCGTGGGTTCGATTCCCACCCAGAACAAATATTAGTGTGATGAACACCATCGTTTGTTCTGTGTCTGAGTGTAATTTATCTATAATATGTATGTATTTAGAAATATATAAGTATGTTTATCAGCAGTCTGGTTACCATAGCACAGACTCTGCCTAGTTTGGGATCAGACGGGGGTGTGAGAGATGTGTGAGGTTATTAAAAAAAAACTAACTTTTATTTTTCTGCACTTTTGTCAATTTGACTGGCCTGTTGGTGTACTGGTATGTGATAGACATGGAAATTATTGCTACTTTTGAATCATAATCATATGATGAATTGATTGGTTTTAGTGATTATATCATGGAAAAAGATCAAAATCCATCAAAATTATTTTTATCAAAGATTACATACAACCTTTTTCTTTTTTTATTTAGACCTTTCGCAAGTCTGGCGCTAGCGTAATAATAATAATAAGTGGCAGTGATTCATAAATCATATGATTTATCTCAGGGGATTGTTATTTTATGTTATGCCTACTAAGTGATCCTGACCCAGACTGTCCTGTGTGACAAGTTTATATCATTATGCCTGAAAACTTACACCACAAACATGTTAAAAAATATATATCTGCCCGTGCCATGAGTGTATGCTTAGAAAACATTTAGTACAAGAGAAACATCGTCTTTTTTTTTAATAATGAGTATAAAAGGATAGCTTATATAAATATAGCACAATGAAAAATATAATTTTCAGATTTTAAAAAATAAAGGATAATTGTTTAATATACATTTTTGAATGAGCCAGACGACTCGTCGGCATACCGCATTACATATTACATATACTATCACATAGCGTAGCAACGTATCGCCCAACAGCCGGTTCAACCCTCCGCATTAGATGTTTCACATCAATAGGTCACGTAGTATGACCCTAGCAGAATCAGGTCGGGGTGGTGGCGAGACTTTTGGGAGCACCAAGGGAACTTGGGGGTTCCCACACAGGAGGGGGTAGGTAGATACCCGCCGTAGATGGCCCGAGGTACGTCGGGGTACCAGAGATTTCCTTTCTAGGGTACACCTGGTTGGCCGGCTACTGGTACCCGAGACGGCGTGCGGTTTTTAGTCGGTTCGAGTCCGACATAGCCCCCGGTAGGTGGTTTCCCCTTAGTTAAATGAGTTATGAGCTTTATTAATTTAACTTTATATCGGGTATTTAAATATTCTATTATCGCCTTTGTGTTGAAATACTGACATTTATTTCAGGATATCGTATCTGGTACGGCGGCGTGCGAGGAAGTCAAGTCTAGTGAAAAATTCGCCAAGATTTTAGAACTGTTGTTGTTGTTGGGCAACTACATGAACGCCGGCTCAAACAACGCTGGCGCTTACGGCTTCGAGATCAGCTTTTTAACTAAGGTACTTTTTTATATAGTAACAGAATTTCAGTATCTCATTCTTAAAATACTTTTTCATTTACTTACTGCTGTGGGGGAGTAATATTTCGACACAAACGAGCCGGCTGCACAGAAAACCGATGTTTAGCAATTCTTTTATTGCTTGTCACCGAGTGGATGAGGATACCGGAGACCTAACCGACTCCCTTCCCAATTTGCTTTTCACCAAGTAGATGACCGGCGAAGGGAGGGTGATGTTGGTTGGTGCTCCGGTATCCTCTACCGGAGAGCCAACCAACTGCCCACCTTCCCTTCCTAATAATACTTGTACCTCTTGAGCTGCACGTGTCCATGAGTGACGGTAGTCACCATCGTGTGATCTGTCTGCTCGTTTGTCTTCTATTACATAAAAAAACAATAGACTTCGCAAGTGCATAGTCTATTGTTTTTTTTTAAATTTGGTATTAAGTAATAATACATAATATGTTTTTCATAGAACACGTGATATATATATATATATCTCCAACTGCAATCATTTCTTTGCCACCAAGCTTTTTGCTCCTTAGCAAGGATTTATTCATAGTCCATTCGCATTATGAAAACAGTGACGCATCGATCAAGCCACGCCCTCTGACCAATCAGGTTGTAAGAAATTAACGTTTCGTAAAAAAGCTTGGCGCCTGATTGGTTAGTGTGTTGGCCTTAATCGTTGCGTCCCTATTTTCTTAACGAGAATGTACAACAGTGTTGTTGTTTTTCTCCAGTTAACGGCAACGAAAGATTTGGAAAACAAACAAACTCTACTACATTATCTAGTAGAAACGATAGAGAACAAATTCCCGGAAGTGTTGACATTCGCTGAGGAAATGCCCCACATAGACAGGTGAGAGACTTTATTTATTTATCTATAATATTATCTAAAGTGTTATAAAGTACACCATAGACAACCCTAAATCAGATTAAACAATATCCGTGTAAAGGTTGTCTGTAAGAGATCGCCGTGAGCGATAAGACCGTCTATTATAATACCAAATGTAGATGTCCATACATGGACGTACAAAATATATTGTAGCGGTGTACAATAAACATGTATAAATTAATTAAATTAATAAATGATATATGTATTTAAAAATATATAAGTATGTTTATCAGCAGTCTGGTTACCAAGCACAGACTGTGCCTAGTTTGGGATCAGACGGCCGTGTATGAAGTTATTTATATTACCGTGTCTCGGCGACTTTATAATAGTTAAGTTCTTTTAAGCCCTATTCAACTTCTTTTTTTATTTAACTGTATCCGTATCAGTCTTGGCATGAAATGTTTACTTTACATGTTACCAGAGCCGCCCGCGTCTCATTGGAGAATCTCCAGAAGGCTCTGAAGAAGATGGAGAACGACATCAAGTCTTTGGAGATGGATTTGAACAACTCACGCGTACAGCAGTGTCCAGACGACCTGTTCCACGAGTCTATGAGTGTATCCTTTTTAAATGTTAACTTCTGGAGTAGTTCGTACAAAGTCTGAAATAGATTATAATTGACTTAGCAGTTACATTCTTCTAGGTTTTTATAGAAAATAATCATAATAATAACCTAACACACAACGCCATCTAGTTTCAAACTAGTAGAGAGAGAGTAGAGCTTGTAGTGTGAAAACTAGATTTACTGATAGAATACTTATATACTTTTTTTTTGTAAATACATACATAATATATATAGAAAACACCCAAACTCCGGCACAAATATTTGCAGATCATACAAACATTTGATCCGACCCGGGAATCGTACCCGAGACCTCAGCACAGCAGTCACATAGGTACTACCACTAAATGTGAATCTATTTTACTGTAAGATCGAAGAAAAGCCAATCAGTCATTTGTGTCATGTTATGTTTAAATTTTTTAGCAATTTACGCTTCGTCTCCATATAAATTTTAAGTATTGCAAATTTAAAAACGTTTGCACAAATGTTCTAAAATGTATATATACTTTAATAGTAAGTTCAAAATATATCCTACCGCGTACTATTTGATCAACAGCGGTGTGTTTTGGAGCCCAGGAAATTGCTCCGCAATATCCTAATCGGGTCTTTTCGTTTTGACGTTTTCGCTATACGGATTCGACAGCTATGTTCTTATTTTTAGGAGTTTCAAGACTTCTTTGGGTATATAATGGTACTCTGGGTCTTAGTATATACCCTTGCTGTGCAATAAATACCCTAGATGCGTTTATTTCATCGTGACATTTTCGCTAAAAGGGGTCAACATTTATTTTCCTATTTTTATCTTCTTAAAAATGCTAGCAAGTCTCCTTCACTCTTCTCAGTCTTTTGCAATAGAAGCCCGTGAACAGTGCGATCTTCTTCACTCAATGTTCCGGAAAATGGACGCTCTGTACAACGAGCTGGCCGAGTATTACGTCTTCGACCCTCACAAGTATACGCTGGAAGAGTTTTTCTCAGATATCAAGACTTTCAAGGATTCCTTCGTTGTAAGTATTTTTTTAAGATTCCTCGTGGAAACGTACAACACACATCTTGCCAATGTTGACATTTTCGCATAGTCTATACAAATAAATAAAATTGGAGTGTCTGTTTGTAATATTAAAATAACCGTTTTCAAAAAAAAAGCTTCGCTTCTAAAAAAAAAAGGTCTAATCCCCCCTTTTTTAAATCTGGGTGAGGGAGGAAGGACTGAAAGGATGGCAACATCCTTGTGACTTTTAAGTCGGTACAGGTAACAGTTGCAGGTATTTATGGGCGGTGGTAGTCACTTACTATCACGTGTCTCCGCTGCTCGTTTGTCTCCTATGTTATAAAAAAATATACTTTTGTTCGGTATCATTGGAATGTGTATACAAGAAAATAATTATTGTAACTTAATTCAAATTTCTTGTAATGTAATAACTTATGCTCTATAATATTTTACTGTTCATTTCACGTCATAGTGAAGGAAATGCCGGGTACGTGGCAATTTAAAGTATAAAATCGAAATTTATCGTTGTTATAAAAAAATAGTACAATTTTTGGATACTTATTTATGTTCGTGTAATATAATAGATATAATATAGTAGATATTCAAAATCGTTTCTAGAAATATATCGTTAGCTATTATTTTTGATGATCTACACCTTTTTATTATAACGCTACTGAATTTTATCGGTAGCAATGCCAATCTGGTATAGAACATAGTGAAGGTGACCCCTCGGAGTGAGGCAGGTGTAACACGTGTGCGTGTGCAGGCGGCGCACGGCGAGGTGTCGGGCGCGCGCGAGGCCCGCGAGCGCGCGGCGCGTGCCCGCTCTGCGCGCGCGGCGGCCGAGCGCGAGCGGCGCGACCGCACGCACCGCTACCAGCAGCTGCTCGACATACACCAGACGCAGGACGGCGTCATGGACAGGTACGCACCGCACCCTCACTTTATCTTCACACTCGATAAGATATATGAGATCGTGCATAAAATAAAAAACTTTTTGAGACGAGATGTGATGAGTGACGCACGCCGTCTAGTGAAAATCTTCTGAACTACTTTAAGTGTATAATCCTGCTTGCGTTATGACAATTTAATCTTTATGATTAACTTCTTAATATATAAATTAAACGTGTCCACGTGACTAATATATTCGTAAAAAATTGTGTAATAAGAAATATTCTTAAATATAATGGGAATAATTATAAACCTCTTAAAATATTTAAGTAAGTTCAAAGTTTTAAATTTAATAACAATTTAAAATAACTACTAAGTACATATATTCAATCCTACAGTCTGATGGAAGCGTTGCAGAGCGGCTCCGCGTTCAGCAGAGAACGCCCTCGGAAGAAAGCTAACCCAAGAATAGCTGGAGGTAAGACACACACATATACACAATAAATAATGTTTTTCTATAGTGATCACGTTACAAAACAGTATAGTGTGTTCTTTTTCATTAAAATTGAGTTATATGGTATAACCCCGACTTACGATGGCTATTTTATTAATTTAGCTTTGGAGATATGCCTAAATTATATTTAAAACATTGTACGAAAGCCCACAAAATAATAACTCAACTTATATTTAAAATGAATATTTTCATTCACGTAATAAATTAGTACCAAATAAAACAGTTAAAAATATAACAACGATGGTGGACCAATAGGCGGTCTCTATACCACGGGCTCACAAAAAACCAGTGTTAAGCAGTTCCTTCGATGCTGTTCACCGAGTGAGTGAGGTTACCGGCGCCGGGGGTTTCTTCTGATTCTGGGCAAGGAGGACTTGTGACTGAAGTAGCAGGTGCTCAGAGGCGGCGGTAGTCACTTATCATCAGGGGATCAGTCTGCTCCTTTGCTCCCTATATAATTAAAAAATATAAACTTTACTATTCAAGTTAAAGTACATTTTAAATTTATTTTCTTGTTATAATCGTAAGTCCGAGGTATTACTGTATAACAAAACACGACCATTGCCATATCAAACATTATCCATAAGGGCCATTACACACTGAATCGTCCGAAATAGGGTCACAATCCACTGTATTCATGTTATATCACAATGATACTCCCGCACGCTCACTCAGAGGACGTTAGCGACGACGAGGGACTAGTTCATGCAATACTGCACCGGCTACAAGGTAAGTCATATGTAACCGTGCACCAAGAATTTATTCTTATAATATTTTAACACTATCTAGCTCGGAAGAGAATACATATAATTAAATAGCTGTAGATATATTTAAACGTACAATACTTAATTGTATAATGCACTCGTATTGTTACGTGCTATAGTTCGATGATTTAGAATGAAAAGCCTTCTGACGACCCACGAGACTTTATAACTAATACACTTACATACGTTCAAACTATACTTAATAATAGTCCGGAATGTTCGTCGAGGTCGCCGGGTTACTCTTCTGTTCGCTTGGATTGCTTCTATGTTTATCGCACTAGCTCAAACTGAACTGCCCTACGAAGACGTGCCTGTATTTAAACTACTCGCTAGAGCGCTAAAAACTTTATAAGTCTTTCTAGAAAATTCAAAAGAACTGTATCCAAGAATAAAAGGGCCCGTTTTCAATGTAAGCAAGATCGCACGACAATCTATTTCTGATCTTTTTTGAATTGTTATAAAGCTCATTGTGCCCTGCCACCATTGATTTTTATTAGAACTATTCGTGGTATTGTGCGGTTAAATAAACTCTCTCTTCCTCACCCGAAGCTTCGTGAAATTTCGTGACTTTTTTATTAAGCCTTTAAATAATGTTTAAAAATAGATTTTACTTAAAAAAAAAACTATTCTTATTAGCCATCTCTTTCATTATTAATTATTTGGTTTCAAAAAGTGTTCACTAACGTACTCTGGTGCTTAGTGAATTTCCCGATTGTTCTTGAATTAATAAATTAAATTGAGATATTATTTATAATTTTCTTTGTTATTATGTTCATAATTATGCTGAATAATTTGCAACACCCAGATGTACGATGTAATTCAATAAATATAAATATTATTAAACGTAAACAGCATTATTAAACGGCAGGGTACAGAATTAAACAGACACAGCATTGAATGTCTACTAACTTTTAGTTTTTGTGTATTCTTTCCCGAGCAAGATAAAAACTAAATAAACAAATATCATTATCAGGTAGGACATATGAGAGAGTGCACCAAGAAAAAAAAATTTTTCGTAGAACACCTAGTTGTATCACATTTCATATGTTTTGTTTCTCAGTAGTAATCACATGCACCATTTGATGAGACTGTAGTAATTATAGGCAGTATTTCTAAATACTGCCTATAAATACTACAGTCTTTTTTTATTAAGGTCTTGTTTTATTAAGAGTTTATTTTTGTATCACGTGTGAAGATACAACTATAATAATTACTTAAAATAGTAAAGTCACTGTGTACAGTTTTATAGTAATAGTAATTTATTCAATATTCTTTATAGATTAGATTATAACGCTTAGGCGGTTAGGAATTTTGGTATTATTTTTAAATGTCTCAATTTATAAAATTGTATGATTTTTATTCTCAAATAAATTATTATAGCGGCGTTGAAATTATAGTTAATATAATGTGGGTGATAAAATATAGTTATTCCCTTGCCTTTTGGGGTTACAGATACAGGAGGATGCCTTCAGTCTGAGGTATTCTTGCCAATAGAGTTATAAAAGTAATTACAAAATAATTATAATAATATTTACTAAATTAAAAAAGCTATTTTATACCAAAATATTTAGTTTATCACTGCACAGCTATGTGCAAACGTGCGTGACCGGCGTGTCGTTGTACAGTATCGCACGTAACAAGCAAACGAGTTTAAGGCAGTCATTATAAAAAAAGTGTTTATAGATACATAAAGGACTGCAGGGGACGTGACTCAGTGGTAACCGAATAGGTTATCACATTGCAAACCAATCCTAACCAGATCAGTCTATGGACAGGCGAACATTCTTAACACATTGAGGTCCCTCGGTGCCTTGGAGAACACGTTAAGTCGTCTCGGTTGCCATACGAACACGTGTGGCAGTTAGGACCCTACTAAATCTGAGAGCAATCTATCTACAAAACTTCGATATCGCCAAGTACTTGGGTTGTTGAAGTCTGATGGCAGTCTCTCCACGTAAAAAGTCGAAGTTCAGCTGTGTCGTAGTAGACTGGTGCCGACCCTAACCCAGTTTGGGAAAAGGCTCGGGGATTCATATTCAGTAAGAGTTTTTATTTTATTGTCACGTTAAAGTGAGTTGTGTTGTATATTTAATTTGTGGTATATAGAAGGTTCGTGCGCCCGAGCGTTGCAGCGCGGCGGTCGTATACGCGACGACACCGACTACAGCTGTCTTCTCAAAAACTTCAGACAAGTGATCTTCACTATATTGTTCGATATGCCGCTGATACTGTAGTTTAGCCAGACGCATGACATCTAGCTCTAACCTGACTGTTCGTTTGACGTGGTATAATAAAGTTTATAGGAGAGTAGGTTGCCATTTTTAGCAGCAAAATAGGAATAGACCTGAAGAAGAAGTGCTCAGAATATAGAAAGAAAAAGCTTCTACTCAGTTCCTATAGTCCTCTCCAGGACTGGTACCATTCTCAAACATCTGCATAGCTTAAACAGTTGATTTTGCCAGATAGACACAAAGAACACTCAGGCAACAATAATTTTTGGATCACACAAAGTGTTGTCCCGACCCATATGAATCCGTCTTTAGTTAGTTACAAGTGAAACATATGAAAGCAATGAGTTGTTGCAGAATTTTATTATACCACTATATAAAGTTTATGCCTAATAACTAAAACTAGTCTACGATGTTATAGAGGAACACAATTTTTGTGAACCTCTTCTATTTTCAGTAAAATATCCTAAATTTTATGTAATCTATTAAATTATGAAGGGGTTTACCAAGACGTTGGGTTGGAGTGTCTTGAGTCAACTCAAGACACTCCTTTCGCTTTCTCAATTATAGAAGCGACTCAACGGGTTTGACTAGCCATATGACATAATTAAGGGTTGCCACCTTATTAAAAACATATTCATTATAAAACCTACAACAATATAATGTGTTCTTTTTTTAAATATATAATTATGTATTATCAAGCGTCGTTACTTTGTTACATTCTTAAATTACTTATGGACTGGACATACGTTCCAATTACAATTTTATAATATTGCTCATATTATATTATTGTTGAATATCATATTTAGAAGTGAAATTGACTGAAGTGTAGTACGATACGCATTGATGGCAACCCTACATGCGTTTAATTACAACTGCAGTGAAGTAGCTTTAAAAACGTAGACTTAACAAAATTTCGCCTGTATGTCAGTGTTGTAAGCTACTAAACTAAAATTATAATAACTTTTCATATTTTTATTACTCTTCTTTTTTATAAAAATTAAATGTAATACCAGTGGCGCCTCTAGAAATCATCTATATTTTTTTTAATAACTAAGAATGTTATTTTACTAATAGGTAAGATACTGGGGACAGTTAGGATATTACCGGCGGAGATTGTGGCACAAATGGGCCCCGCTCGTCCATAGTGATTCCACGGCCTCATAGAAAACCGGTGTTAAGCAACTCCTTCGTAACTTAACCGAGTGAGTGAGGTCACTGGTGCTTAACCCTCCCTTCCCTCTGATTCTTGGTTAAGGAGAGGCCTCGAAAGGTGGTCACGCATTTGTGACTCTTGAGTTGAAGAGGTACATGGGCGGCGGTAGTCAATGCGTGGAGACTTCCACATACTGTCAAACAAAGAAACATATCCCGCCATCTGTCGAAGACACACCGAACTACGAAGTAACTGATAATCCTGTATCGCGATATGACACCTGTTCCTCCACAAATTAATATTAGTTACTGTCAGGTTTCTTTACTTTTCATTTAGGTAGGTAGGGTACATATAACCCCACATTTCTCGAACAAAACTCTTGTGGTTTTGAAGAATTTTAAAAAAGTATTTTTTTTATATTCAGCAAAAAATTACTCTGTATTTTATACAGGATCATTCTTTTAGAGTTCTAGATGCTTTTTAACTCTTCTGTGATGTTAATTCTGTTTTTTTTTATTTTATTTTAACCAAAGCAGAATATTAAGGTTGAAGGTTTATCTATAGTAAAATTAGAAACAATTATAGGTACATTATAATACGCAATATTGTTTATTATAAATATGAAATAATTTGTTGTTGTTTACCGCTGATTGTAATACCAGACTGCTTTTGATGTTGTGAGATGTGTGTGTTAGTATAATCTATATGAAGGGTATTCTATAACTACGAGTTTATATAAACAATAAGTATCGTTTTCAATTTTGAGATTCGTCAATTTTTTTTTTCCTAATTTGAAAATTAACGAGAACGCTCTTTTTTTGATATTTTTTAATTGTTAATGAAGATTAAATGGGTTTTGTCTATGGTTTTATATTAAACTAGCTTTCGTCCGCGTGTATGTCGGTTATCACGGTAAGCTATGTCTATGTCGGTAGCCTATGTTCTTCCTCAAGAATCAAAATACCTTTATACCAAATTTCATCTTAATCGGTTGAGCGATTATTAAATCCCCATACAAACTTCTACCCCCCTTCCCTTTCCACACCCTTAAAGGATGATTTCTAAAATAAAAACTATCCTATGTCCTTTCCCGGGACTCAAACTATCTCTATACCAAATTTAATAAAAATCACTTTAGCGGTTTAAGAGTGACAGACAGACAGATACATACTTTTTAGAAAAAAGACAACTCCAGCACTAACTAACAAAAGAACAAGCAGACTCAAAACGACAATTTGTGGATCACACAAAGTGTCGTCCCATGAAGGGATCGACCCCACAACGCCATTCGTGCAGTCAAGATACAACCATATAATGAACAAGAGCCCCAATCTTCCAATATAGGCAACGAGAGAGATAGATAATAGATAGTTCCCTCTATCTCTTTCTAGTCAAGCTCTGTGGTTGGCTGGGGAAATTTGTAATCGCCCGCCTGTTCTACGATCAAAACCATGCCCACTTCACGATAGCCAATTGCAGCTTAGCTAAACAGAGACAGAGGGAACTATCGGGCATCCATCTCTCTCGTTGCCTGTATCGCCTACACTTCCAGGCAGCTGTAGATACCCCGTGTTCTCTCTGTGTTTTATGTTGTATATCTCTATGTTTTCTCCCTATGATGTAAAAAGTCAGCCATGTTGTGTAAATTAAAACGATTTTGTTTGTATAAACTCGAGCTTATGGGATACTCTTATTTGTATTCCAGAACAATTAATACGTTCTGATGTTATGTTCTAGAGAAACCAATGTAATGTTATGATGTTACTAATACAGTTTTATTATTTTGCAGCTGAGAGAAGAGCACAGCTGAGTCGATCGCGGTCCCGCTCGGGCTTGACGGGGCCGCTCACAGCACGAGAACTAACCAAGTTTGTATTTTGCTCATTCATTATTTTTTATATAAGTCCTGAAGTTGGATTCGTTTGTATTATAAAGGACGACATGGTTATTCTGAGAGTATAAAAACGTTAAGTGTCCGGGCTCAAGCAGCTGAACACTTTTGTCGACTCAGAACGACAATTTGTGGATCACACAAAGTATCATCCCATGTGGGGATCGAACCCAGAACCCTCAGCGTAGTAGAAAGCAGTGTGGCTTCCGCTTGAACCACTCTGCTATCCGTGCAGTCTACTTTTAAGTTGTTGTAGTACCATGGCCGCTCCTCAAAACCTCCCCCCCCCCCCCTGATTTTTAGGGGAGTCTCAAACATCGGCATCACACTTTTGACTCTTGACTTGCAGGTATCCTTGGGCGGTGGTACTCACTAACCATAAGGTGATCCTTCTCCTCGTTTGCCCCCTAAACTATTAAAAAAAACCTAATTCGATCATTTTTTTTCTCTTTTACAGTGAGTTGCTGAGCAACGCGTGATGATGGTTCTCACTCGAAGTGATATTAGTGACGTAACGCAGTGAATATGACACGAAACGTGTTTATAATGAACACAACACTATCTTCATATTATTACAGAGTATATTTACCTTACAAAGACACGCTCCTTAAAAAAATGCCATAGATAAAGTCTTTTAAACGCCATTGACATGTAAACGTGACAAAAACTAAATGCATCATAACACGAAACAAATAGTTTAAACTATTGCTTTGATGGGCCTGTTGGTCCCTGACTGTTAAGCCGGGGGTCGTGGGTTCGATTCCCACCTAGGACAAATAATTCTGTGATGAGCACGATCATTTGTTCTGTGTATGGGTGTAATTTACATATGTATGTATTTAGTTATATATAAGTATGTTTATCAGCAGTCTGATTACCGTATTACAGGCTCTGCCTAGTTTGGGATCAGACTGTCGTGTCTTATTACTTAAAAAGAAAATGTTTATTTTTCTTTTGTCACATATATGTGACAGTGGCGTTCTAAGCACTAATTATATTACAAGGTGATAATAACCAGCCTTTAAGAGGACTGTATCAGCTCCTACAGATAACCCTGAACATCTGGAACGTTCACCAACAAATATTGATCTGTAACTCAATCAATACCTGCACTTGGGCTAATTCCTGAACCCATTTAATTAACCAGAGTTATAAATAGGCGGTTTCTCGGGAGCATCCATAAAGTACGTGAAATATATCCTTGTAAATTTGATCCCTCTTTCTTATTTAATGAGATTTAATACGATTCCATCCGTGTCATTTACGCTATAATTGTAAGGTATTAATTTATTAATTTAAGTTGTATTAATATTGTTCGAAGTTGAGTTATTCAGTTGTAACGAATTTTGATGAGATTTTATTGGCTCCCTCCCTAATTAGGGGAATTTTATTTCACGTAATTAGTGAATGCCCCCTAAGCTGTACTACTATACAAGGAAATGTTTGGTTTTTGTAATTGATAAACCTCTGATAGTACTGAACCGGTTTTAACACGAGAAAGCTACGTTATCTAGAATTAAGATTGGCTATATAACATCAAGGTAACAACTGATGGAGCAGAGCTGTTAGGTATATATATAAAGATTTTTAACGAATTTTACTTCGATAAAGGTATATTCGCAATTGTCCCATAGAAGATGGTGTGTGTTTATCATTAAACCGTCTGTGTAAAGATTTAAATGTTGCACTAATTAAAAAAAAAACTATTAGAGATTAAATCTCTTAAAGTAACTTGTCTGTATGTAATTGTCTTTGTTTTAGTGTCTCTTGAGTTACAGATGTCCATAAGTGGCGGTAGTCACTTACCATGGGGTGACCCTTATACCATAAACAAAATTCGAGTCAATACAATTACGATCAAATGCATATTGCACTATTAAAATCTCGTAATGGGCGCACAGAAGTCTTTTTAAAATATAAAAAAAAAAAAGTATGAAGCCTCGTAATAACATGTAAATCACTCGTATAGTTTAACTTGTAAATGGACATACAAACAAAGATAAAACAGATTTTCATTTAATAAAAAAAAAAAAATGGAGACCAGCTTAAACATTATAGGTTCTTGTCTCCACGCGTCTAATTAAGGCCTCAGTAAGGCCATAGTCTTTATAGTTGCCTATTCTTCAAGTTACAGACAAATAAAGCCACTTTTATCGCTTAAACTTAAGAACTGTATATCTCGTACTATTGTTTCATGTTTCCTGTTACACTTCCAAAATGACTGACTGCCATACAACCATTCCTCCCATATTTTATCCCATTAGGATTGAAATTTCCAAAAAACATTTTGTTTGAGGCAAACATAAAAAGCACCAGCTGCCAAAATTTTGAGTGTGTGGTCCTAGCGGTTTAGACTGCGTTGTTGAATCATTCAGGGCATGTAGTTTTATATCTGTATATATTAGTGCAACATAAAATCTATATTAGTTTATAAGTTACAAATATACAAATAATAAAACAATGTGGTATTTGAAGTAGGGCGTGCGTAAGTGTTGTTGTTTATTAAACTAGCACAAAATGTGTAGCAGAATGTTTGCTCAGAATGTCTGATATGTTTTTAATTAATACAATTATAATATTATTAATGATCTTGGTACAGTAATGAAGGTTCAGAAAGTTCTGACGCTAATGAGGGTCCATTTTTCGTAACTCGATCTTAAAATTGAATATTTCATGATTATTCCGACCATTTCGTCAAATATTCGTGTTTAAAATAATTTTTTTTTTTTTTTTATTGAAATAAAAACAGAAACATCTGAAGATCTACAAATTTACGAATTACAAATTATGCAATCTTATCACAATACTAGCTTATCTTAAAACTAGTTATTACCCGCGGTCGCGTCATGATTTCATATTTGCGTTGCAACATTTTGAAAATGACGAACTTTCTTACAACCGTTCATCCTTCATTTAACCCCTTTAGAGGTGAAATCTCAAAACATAAAAAGCATCAGCTGCCAAAATTTGAAGCATGTAGCCCCAGCGGTTTAAACTATGCGTTGATGAATTAGTCAGTCAGGGCAAAGTATTTTATAAGTATGAATTAAATATTATTAAATTATAATGTTAATTAATATTACACTCCTGGTGATCCGTATGACAGGTGGTGCATCAGCACAAACCTACAACAGGCACCAGTCTCTCACAATGTTCAATGTATTGGCACATTATTGTTGTTAAATGTTAAGAAAACCATTGTGATGACAAATAAATTATTATTATTACAAAAAAAATAAAACACTATCTAAATAAAATGAATGGAACATTTAATGAAATGGTCGAACACTTTTTGTATTATATTTCCAGATTAATAAATCATGAATAACTGAATGTACGAATATTTCATGACGTAGTTAAAACAATATTGATCATATCGGTAAATTTAAGATTAATAACTTAAAGCGGCCTAAAAAAGTGCGTTATCTTTTTTAAATTTAAAAATAAAGAAATTCTGTCACCTTTTTATTGCTATACCAAGTAAATCGAATTTTAAGCAACTCTTCCATTCATATGTACTTTGGTACGTAGTTATGTCTGTATATATTGGTGTACCGTGAATAAAAATGTTATTAGATATCGCTAACTCTAGGTGTGGCCTTATTTTGCTTGAACCAGTCCATTAAGTCCTTAGTAAGGCCCAGGCCTGTAAAATTGCTTATATAGGAATGTGATATTTTATATATATTCAATTAATATAACTTAATATAGTGAAAATTATTACAGTTATACGTTTTATTTGTCAGTGATAATTGTAATGGTGAGTTTCCACGCTCCGATAGAAACGGTTTTACAAAATGTCTGTAAAGTAAATTAAAACACAATGTGTTTAGTTAAAAAATTAATTAAAAAGAAACAGAAAGACAAATGTTTTAGTAATATAATTTTAAAGAATATATTTAATTTAAGATTCATCATCATAAACACCACTTCACCATCATATATCTATGCCAGAAAAAATCTAGTTTCTTTTTAATAAAGGCCAAGACGCTAGATTTTAAGACATACCATATGTATATTATTACTTATATATAGTTACATTTACGGGAATTAACGCGCTCACGATAGGTATTAAGTACACACTTGAAATGCCAGACTTTTCGACTAAGAGGCTCTGGTCGTGGTCACTCTGCGTCAGCTTGTGACCACACCTGCGGCCACGGTAAGTATATAAACATAATTATACATTATGGAAGGCGATGGTGTAAAAGACACTATATGTAAATGGTTTTTTTTATATGACACTCCACTATTATCAAATCGTGCCTTTATTGTTTTTATAATTACTAAACTATAATAAAGTATCGCAGTATAGGTTCCTTCGAACCTAAAATTGTCCAGAGGCTCGAAGGCCCAAAAAACCAGACCGTTCCGTCAGAACTTCTAAACTCGTCATTACATTCTTTTCAATAGCGCAATGAACCAGTGGATTCCTTCTAATATTGAATATAATGCGGCCTTTTATCATAATAACCTTAAAAAACATCGGTCTATCCGTCAGGCTAAAGCTTATTTAGCTCGCGTTATCTACAGGTTAACGTAAAAAAGGACCTAAAAATTTGGCCTCTTTATATAATTTGGCCTCAAACATTGAAGATAGGCCCGACTCTATATAAATTCATATTGTACAGAAAGTATACATTTTTATTTAGTTTTTAATATGCATTTGTTCTATTACACACACTAAACGATGTAAATTTAATGATTTTTCGATATTTTAATTATTAATTTTAAGTTTTTTTAATGTGAACATATTATATAGAATAGGATACATTCAGCGGCATTGTTATTAACCCAATAATGTCACAATTTATATAATCATTAAGTGCATTTTTATATATTATTGTTCAAAGTCGATGACCGCTTACTGTCAGACGGGTTTAAGCCTTATTTGACAAATTAGTGATACACAAAATATCAATTTATAACATAATATTTTGTTACTCTTATGCTTGCCATATCTTTATAAGGCAAACATAAAAGTAGTTTGCTTCAGCTAAAATTATAAAGATTAAGTTTGTTTGTTTGACCGCTCTTATCTCAAAAACTGCCGATCGGATTTCAAATCAACTTTTGTTCTTAATAGTATAATTCTAGTGGACGGTTGTAAGGTATGGAGCTTTACACTACGACACTTAGGGGCAGACCAGTGAACTCAAACTACTTTAGTGTAAAGTTCACTTAACTCCAAGATTTATTTGATTGAAGTACTGTTATTGTATATTTACTTATATAATGTCGCTGAACGTACTTAGAATATATATACATGTAAATATATTTTTGTAAAATGTTACATTTTTACTTAATAATAATGTTTTTAAAACTATTTTTTTTTACTATCTGTTTTCACCTTTTTTACTTGAAGACGACTCCCGTACTAGGAACTTATCCTGTATTGCGGGAGACTTTACAAAGTTACATGAAATGGACACAACAACACCCAGACTCACAATGTGTTGGGATCGAACCCACAACACTC